CAGCATCATCATCAGAAGCAAGTGATGAAGGTTCTAAGGTATAGAGTGTGAAGTGATGGAAATACTATGATCAGAGATCTTGGTTAAAATGTTTTTTAATTATTTGTTAGATTATGTTAGGTGATACAAGTAATCAGGATAGCAAGTAAGTCATCAGTAGCACACTTTTGAGTTTAATATTGGTCAATTATTATATTCCATGCATGTTAGACTGTTTTTAAATTGTACATTTTAAATGATGTGATTTTGTGAGTTCTGTACACAATGTATGCCAAAATCTTAAAATATTTATACAAGAAATTATTGGGAAACAAACCTTGAAGCTAAATGAGTCCAGTGCACACAAAATATTCATTTGTTACTATAAGAATATTGAATAAAAGTACATGAGAATTCAAAACTGTTTTAWTGTCTTCATTCTAAACAAATGGGAAACATAAATAACAATTTTAGTTTTGTCTTTCAGATTAAAGAAATCTCAAATAGCCAATCATAATTTATCTGCTGGAAGTGTTTTCAATACTTTCCCATCTACAGCAAAGACAAAAGAAAACACTGGTAGAACGGTAGGTTACAGTCTTTTGTAACAGCAATAACTGGAATACTAACTACTGGTTACATACTCCCCCCCCTCCCCCAGTGTGTACATCAAGATGTGCTGAATATTTGTGTATATTTATAAACATATTTTCTTGAGAGTCATGTTATTGTTTTTAGACATCAGGTGGTCAGTCATCGTCAAAACTAGTTCCATGTAAATTCACCAGCAATGTAAGTAAAGATATATCTATTATATCAATTGTGTTATTTGTTGTATTTGTTCCCTAAGTTGATACAGTTGGGAAATGGAAAACAGGACAAGTGTCGRATGTCCTCMAATTTAGATTTGACTGAGGTATAATGGTGTCATTTACAGGGGCTACAGTGTCAGGAGCTGGTCAGCAAGCGATCCAAGTCAGGATATTGTACAGCTCACAGAACTGTTGTCAGAATCACCAAACAAGGTATCAGTTTCTAATTATATTGGCATTGCTTGTAAAACCGTAGGGTTGTCCATGGAGGATCATTTGAAGAYCAGTCAGGATCATTWGAGATCATGCTAATCATATGTGAAAATATTTATGAACCTGAATGATGTTAATGATAAAAAATTWTATATCTGAGATATTTTTTCTTTGTTGTTGACTGTTTCTGCATCCAATAGGAATTAGCAAGGCAAGTAGAGCTGTATCTAGTGAACCAACAAAGGTTGACAAGGTAATATTAATAAATAACATTAAGTTATACAAAACACATTTTATACAAACATCAAATGAGTACCGTATTTACCCATGTATAAGCCGCTCTCGTAGATAAGCCGCACCCTGAGTTTTAGGAACGTTTAATTCAGGAAAAAAAGACGGAAAAAAAACTTTTCTCTTTTTGATAGCCACTTGTGAACACAGCTTTCTTTGATTTTAAAGTGCTTTTTCGCTGCTCGATTTCCGTGATCCATGCATTTCGTATGCAATTACAATCAGTTTACARTATTTAATGTGCATCGTGTTACCACAACAACTCCAAGACAAAAYGATTGAATGCTCTCTGTTCATTGGCTCAATAACCACACACTTTTCAGTTTGATTTATTGACTTGTGTTAAAGTGAAGAATCCAGGGTAAATATTTTGGATACCCAAGAAATAAGCCTAAGAAATTGTTCCTTATATTAAACAAATACAATCTGCTTTAATATTTTTTTGAAATACGAAACTGTTTCGGCATGAGCCTTATGTTTAGAAGGTTGGCAGCACGATGAGATTTATCGGTAATATCACTCAAGTTAATTACCAAGATCATCATACACCGCACGTTAAATAAACTGATAGATTAAGTGACAAATAAAACTTTGTGTTTAACAGGCAGAGCAGCTGGAGAGTCTGCATTGCTTGTCTGAGTCAAGTACAGCTAGTCAAGTACCTCAAGCTACAGAACAATTGCCTCATGATGTTTTCAACATGGAAGATGACGAACAAGAAAGGTGAATGTTGTTTATATCTATGAAAACTCATGATTTTTTTCCTCGAATTAAATACCTTACAATGTAAATGGCTAATACAGAAAATGCACAATGATTTCTGTCCTAAGCCTTGCAAATGCACCAGTTTAATGTTGAAAATCCATACAAAAAAAAAAAAAAAAAAAAAAAAAAAAGCCAGTCAAAAAATTTTTTTATCTCTTTTGTTTGGCTTTTAATTTTCGATTTTGTTTGATTATTTTCCACAGTGAAAATGAAGATTCCCCAGGTTCAGCCAGTTTCCAGTATGAAGGAGACGATGATTTGGTTATCGATTTGCCAGAATAATGATAATAATAATTATTATTATGAATTGTTGTTAGTACCAAAAACAATGCAAGACTATTTTGTACAGTTAAAATTAGAACACAGCTTTCAATTCATTTGTAATAAATAGATAAATGTAATTTAGCATGTACAGTGAAACAATTAAAACTACAAAAAATGTTTAACTGATTTTGAAATCATCATTTTTGCCTGGGTGAGGTGAACAGGGGGTGATGTGCATGGTGTTGATGAACAAACAACTAAAAAGGACCAATCAATAACCTGCAATTCAAGTTCTGTTTATTGATTTATTTGAACTGTAACACTTGCATCAAACGCTTTTGGATCGTATGATTTTATTACTGACATGGCACCATTGTTG